AAGTTCCATGAAGAAGCCAAAAGGGTTCCATAGACAAAGAGAAAAAGACATGCCCAGGTTCTCCTTTTGCTCATGATGTTGAGAAGGAAGGTGTACGAGGAAGATGGGTGCATAGGTGAAGATGTGGGTTCCTCTTCTTGCGCCATTCACCGCCTACAAATCAAACAACCTCAATTTTGACCTTTCTACTCTAAGCACTCACCGTGTCCCACCTCGCTCTCTGCCCTCGGATTTCACTATTCCTTAAAATTATGATTCTTCCTTCGCTCTTATATTATCCTATTTCTTTCTCCCACATCGTTAATAATTTACTCTCCTCTACTGAATATAATTGAAATTTTCGAACTAATTTTGCAAACAATAATCACGATAATAAATAATAATACTGATAAAGAAAATATCTACAACTGTTCTGGGCTTGGCTTATCACAAATCTGTAATGAAGTGATACTACAGAAATTAACAGAGAACCTCTGAATGATTTACATTCTCTCTCATTCAAAACACAAGATCAGGACCACATTTTCAAAGGGATTATTCAAAACCCAAAACCTTCCATTAAATCCATTATCATAAAAAAAGAATGAGATTTATTTATTTTTTAATAAATTGTTGTAGTAAAATGTTAGGCAATATTATATTGTTTAAGGAATAATATTCCATCAAAAGTTTGTGGTATTAAAAATATTCTAATAGTATGATCATGATATAAAAGGTAAGACATTACATTGTCTTCAAAATATATCAAAGAGTTTGCGAAATATGAAAGGAAAATTTATTTTTGACTGGTGGATTTCTTATAAACTTAACTGTCAACTTTTAATTCAAATATAAAATTTATTAAAAATATATTAAATAATTCGCAGTTTGTTTATTTAATTAATGATCATGTAACCTTGAAACAATTCATTAAACATAGTTGTTTGTGATTTTTAAAGATATTTATGAGTTATGTCGAATTGGGTTGGGTAAGATTTAGACAAGTCAATAACTTAATTTATTAAAGAAATTACTAAGTTTGGTATATACTTATACTTTGATTTGGATTACTATTTATGTCTGATACATATTTGTGTCAAATATTTTAAAATTCCTTATCAATACTTATCAACGAAGTATTTAATTTATAAAGCAATAAAATTTTTATAATGATAATAATTTATAATTTTTTATATTGACAACTTTGATACATATGATTTTAATTTGGATTCACAATAATAATCATATATTTATCATATTTTCAAAATGATTGTACATTTTTCAATATGCATATCATGTATCGTATTTTATTATTTAAAAAAAAGTATCGATGGGATGCGTATAGTATCCATGCATCATATTTTGCATTTGTTATCTTAAATCCAATTTTATTTAATTTACCCTTGAGCGAATTAGATTTAATTAAGTTAATTAGCTTAGTATTTTATCTTGTTGATATAGTATAATTTTCAATTTTCAACCAATTAAAAAATAACGCAATTTAAAAAAAAAATAATTTAAGATTATAAGTAATTTAATAAGTCAAGTCAAGTTTCTTCAAACTAATAAAAAATAAAATCATGACACAAATATAAAAATGAGTCTCAGGTTAGTTCTCGAATCACTCATTAAATTTGTCATTTAACCCGTAAAAAATTTAGTTAGTTTGGATTGAGTTGGGTTGTAATTGATTCAATCATAAACGAAACAAAATCTCAATATAATTGAATTGAGGTGGATTGAATTAAATTAGGTTAGGTTGGATTATTAAGTAATCTAAACCAATATATTCATGTGTAACATCAAAGACTTTGTATAAATTCCATGAAACCTATAAATATATACTATATTTTAGTTTCCTTTATAATTAATTTGTGTTTTAGAGATATTTATGTTTGAATTCTTATAAAAAAACTTGTTAGATCTATTTAATATGATAAAATTGGTTGTATTTTTATGTTGAAGAATAATTGAGCATTAAAACTTGGATGATAAGGATTTGGTTGTTTGGAATTGGTTTTTATGGATGATAATGTATGTATGCATGTTTTTGTTGTGAAATGTCATGTTAGTTTCAATGATTTAAATAAAGTTTATTTTGCTATATACAGGAAAACATTCATAATAATATTTTAATTCATAAAAAATAAAGTTGAGAAATCATGTGGTGGTTCTATTTTTAGATTCATTCTATTTATCAATGTATTACATTAGTGTAGAAGTAATTTTACATTGATGATTAGTTTGAACAATTATTAGTACATGTTGTACATATGATTTTTATATATGAAGTAACATGTGTTGATAATAAGTATTTTTTTTCTTCAAATGACAAGCAAATTCATTCTTTTGAGTTTTTCTTTCTTTTTTTGTTTTCTCTTTATCTCAATTTCTATTGTGATGTTCATTAAGAGTGACAAATCAAAATTCTTTCTCCTCCACTTTTTATAATTCTTCATTTCATCATATATTTAAAAGTTAAATGATTCACATATTTTACCATGGAAACAATTTCTTATGATGCATAAAATTTTGTGCTTTAATGCAAATCTTTTTATTTTTGTGTGATTTCTCATGGAAGAAGATCATAAAACATAAAGTGAAAATCCAACTTATTGTAGTTGGAAACAAGTTCAAATCCTAATGTCATGACTTAAATTAATTCTTTTTTCATGAATTTGTCCCCACTAATTAGTTGTATTAATTCAAATTAAATTTGAGAGAAACTTCATGAGTAATTTTAGCATTAGATGTGTGCAAAATTATGACAATTATGAACATAATTACATACCATGATGCTTGAACAAAAAATAATGTGTGAATTTCTCATCCAATTTACCTATTTATAAGGCAATTTTTCAAGTAATCATTACATGTGTACATTAAATGTAATATTATTCCTTCTTATCTCCTTATCTTCAATAATAACATTTAGATCCTAACAATATTCTCTTTACATATGAGTTAATTTTATATTGGGACTTTCTTATAATGAATAGTATTATTTTATCACAACATGACACACTTATATGAAACTCCTTAGTGAAACTAAGGGGAATGCCAAAAAGATTCAACACCAATGAATCATAAACACTACATATAAGAAATTTAAAACACTATTTTCAACCCAAAACTTTAAAATAATAAATATATGTGTTTTTTTTATATACTACTCTTTAAACTCATTTATTTTGAATATAGGACCAAACTAATACTTGTAATGGTAAACTTAAAGTATACTATATCGCTGTATTATAAATTAACATGTTGATGTTCTCAGTCTTTTTCATCTATTTAAATTTCCTTTTAAAAGTCCAAACTCAATGCATTTGTATCTCTTTCTAATTTTTAACAATATTAAATTTACGAGGAATATTAGTGTATAACTCATTTTGCTTTGATAATTAATTTAAGAAATTTGTTAGTACAACTTTCAATTTTATTAAAGTTAATTTTATTAAAATAAAGGAGTTTTACATAAGAATCAACATGTAATGATATAAAAACTTAAAACAAATTTAAAGATGGAGTATTTGATGTTTTTGATCGCATAATTGATTGTAAATAAAATAAAATTTAGGGTCTTAATTATTTTATTTTATCTTGTTTTTTTAGTTATATTTTGATCTTATAGTGCATTGCAGGTAATCATTAATCCATTATTTGAATTCGTCTAAATTAATGTTTAAAAGGTCTTTTAATATGTAGAGATGTTTTTTTTTTCTCTTTTAGGTTTGGAAGAAAAAAACATTTTAATCAATTAAAAATATTTTGATCAATTATTATTTTTTATTAATTAAAAACATATTATACTATTAAAATAATTTAAAACTAAATTCATGTAATTACCTGGGTTTTAATGATTAAAAATAAAAATTTAATTACTTAAAGTTTACAATGAAGTTGTTTTAATAAATTAAAATAATTTTTAATTGATTAAAATTATTTAAAATTCAAACTTCATCGATTTTAACATATTAAAATCTTGTTTTAATATACTAAAATTCTAAAGTATTGGCTTGTAACTTTGTTTTAGTGAATTAAAATAATTTTAGTTTATTAAAACCATAAATATAAAAAACACGCATATATCTATGAATAATTAATAAAATATAACTACTTCAAATTTGGTCAATGACCACTTAAATGAAAAGTGATTACTCCAAACCTCCATGGCTTAACAATTTGACTCATATTAACACTCACATTCACTATAAATTCAATAGCTACATAAAATTTGACTCATATTAATACTCACATTCACTATAAATTCAATATCAACATAAATTTCAACTTGAAATAAAATGATTTATCAGTGTCACTTCCAAGTTATAAGAATTCTAGTGTAGAAAAAGTCTGAAATTACATAAAAGTCTCGAATACTTAGAAAACCTTCAAAATACTAAAATATCATAAAAATCAAAGATTAATCTTGTTGTAACATCATTTCCTCATTTCATAAAACTTGTGAGAATTTAAAGTATACATAATTCTATAAAATACTGGGAAATGGTTTGTGAAAGAGAATTGAACTTGCTCTATCAAAGATTTTTGATGGATGAAAAATGACAACAGATTTATTATTTTTTTACTCATGTTAGGTGATAAAAATAATAATAACTAGTTCCAAAAAGTTAGAGAAACATTAAAAAGTGTTTAAATAAAAATATTTTTACAGAATATATAATTAAATAGCTAAAGTGATAATTTATATTTTAAAAATCTAGAATTTTAACATTTATTCACCTTTTTCTTAAAATTATATTAAACTAAAACCTGTTAGTCAATTAATCTTTTTTTATCTTAATTTGTAAGGTATTTTTAGGAACTATTTGTAACGTTTGTTTACTCTAGGAAGTTCTTAAATCGATTCTTAAACTCTTGACTAAGAAATACCAAATTGATACTGATGAAGAAGAAATGCCTTTAATTTTAAAAAATCCAAGGACACTATTACCCTGCACTATGAAAAAAAGGGGAAAAGTAATAAAAAATTGGAGAGAATTAAAAACGCGTTTAATGCATAGCATTGATATCCCAAACAGAACTCAACGACCAAAACAGAGGTTTTGAACACAAAACTAACACCAATGGTATTTTTGACAGAAGAAACGTGGTGGAGGGAGAGAAAGTCACAACACTGTATGGAATCATGCATCACTAGAGAATATAGATAGATAGGGAGAGAGAGAGAGAGAGAGAGAGAGAGAGAGAGAGAGAGAGAGAGAGGGAAAGGGAAAGTGTGTGTGTGTGTGTGAGAAAGAGAGAAAGTGGAGTCTTTTGACTGAGCCTAGCCGGCAAAAGCCGTCTAAGGTTGTTGTCTGGTTGATGATAATGTTCTTTTTAATGTCTGAATACGCGTTGAACTTTCAGACATACCCCCCACCACACTTTTTTCTTGTTAAGCCTCTGATCCATTTTTACCCTTAATCCCAAACCAAAGGTCCACCTTGTCTTTTTCCTTCATTAATTGATTCCATTGTTTGTAAATCATAATACTCTGAGTGTTATAACCTTCATTCATCTCAGACTTTTTTTTATTGCTTAGATTTCTTCTTTTATTATTGAACAATGATTACTTTATGACAGTTAGTGATTGTTGTTGGAGGGTTATGAATTGTGGGTTTGATTCAAGCTCAGAGCTTTTGAATTGGGTGGGGGTGGAATATTTCAGTGGTGTATTTTTGGTATCTGATTTTGAATTGGGTTTGCGTCGATGAAGGAAAGTTTTCGTCTTTACTTTTGAATAGCGAGAAAAGAAGGTACTGTGTAGTGGGTGACTTAATTTTTATGAGTTTTGGTGGAGTTGTTGGAAGAAGTGGTGCTGGTGGATGGCGATCCTACTTTTTGAAGGATAATAATTTTGTGAAGTTGATGTGATATCGTTGTGCTTCAACATGGGTTGCTTATGCTCTAAGAGTGCAGCTGTAGAGGACAGCAAGGTAGGAGTCACTAAGAAATTGCAATCGTATAGCACAAGGCCTTCAGAGTTGAATGTTTTGCGGTTGAATTCGACTAGGAGGGTTGATGAAGGTGGGGCTAAAGATGTGATAACAGACAGTGGTCATGTAAAAGGTTCATTGATTGACAAGAAGGCCAATGGTTCAGGGCAGTTGTATGTTGATCATGATGGGAAGAAGAAAACAGAGAAGCCTGAAGTGACTGTTGTGGATCATATTGGCCCTGGAAGAATTCCAAAGGCTATAGAAGGAGAGCAAGTTGCAGCTGGATGGCCAGCATGGCTTTCTTCTGTTGCTGGTGAAGCTATTAAGGGATGGATACCTCGGAGAGCGAATAATTTTGAGAAGTTGGACAAAGTAAGTGGTCTTGTCTGATGTCTGTGTTTACATTATGATTAAACTGTTCTGTAATTCTTACTGTCTTCTGTCTTAAGATGCTGCATCAATCTGTTTGTTAATGGTTTGGAGTTCAAGATGGGGTTAATTTCATATTTTTTGTTGTAATGAAAAAAGAATGACTGGTAGACTGGTTTGATTTTGTTGTTGTTTGTTCTTGAGTATAAACTTCTTATATTGGTGAAGGAATAATATGATGATGAAATTCTATTATGCAGATTGGACAAGGAACTTATAGTACTGTTTATAAGGCAAGGGATGTGATTAACCGCAAGTTTGTTGCATTGAAAAAAGTACGCTTTGACAATCTTGATCCTGAGAGTGTGAAGTTTATGGCAAGGGAAATCCATGTTCTGCGTAGGCTTGACCATCCAAACATTATAAAATTGGAGGGCTTGGTAACGTCTCATATGTCTCGCAGCTTGTACCTTGTTTTTGAGTATATGGAACACGATCTTACAGGACTTGCATCAAATCCTGAAATCAAGTTCTCTGAAGCACAGGTAATAATCGTTTGTTTTCATTTACTCAACGTATTTTTAAAAAGTTCAGATTTTTTTGCATGTACATGTCTGGTATAAGACTACAAGTATAGAAAAGTAGCTATGTATGTAACATGTTTTTTGTTTAAAAACTCCTAAAACAACAATATTCTTTATATGTCAGCTAAAATGCTACATGCAGCAACTTCTTAGTGGATTGGATCATTGTCATAGTCATGGTGTGCTCCACCGTGACATAAAGGGCTCAAATCTTCTCATTGACAATAATGGAATCTTAAAAATAGCTGATTTTGGTTTGGCAAGTTTTTTTGACCCCCACCACAGTGTTCCATTGACAAGCCGAGTAGTAACTCTATGGTATAGACCACCAGAACTTTTACTTGGAGCAAATCATTATGGGGTTGCAGTGGATTTGTGGAGCACTGGTTGCATACTGGGTGAACTATATACTGGAAGGCCCATTTTGCCAGGAAAAACAGAGGTATGAGTATATATATATATATATATATATATATATATATATATATATATATATATATATAAGTGCAGTTTCCATAATTTTTCTTGTATTGTTGTTATTCTAGGATCTTTATTTCTTTGTAGGTTGAGCAATTGCATCGAATTTTTAAACTTTGCGGCTCACCATCTGATGAGTATTGGCTTAAATTGCGGCTGTCACATTCAACAGTATTCCGGCCACCACACCATTATAGACGATGTGTTACTGAGACATTTAAGGACTACCCATCTACTGCTGTAAAGCTTATAGAGACCCTGCTTTCAGTAGAGCCGGCACAACGAGGAACTGCAGCAGCTGCTCTGAAAAGTGAGGTAAGCTGGTTTTTATCTCCAGCAAGCAGTTATAGCATTCAAGGAAAATTTGTATCGTTGTTTAATGAAGCTCTTCGTGTTGCTTGCTTCTATGACATCACTTAGATGCACACAAAAGTGTGATTAATGCTTCTCATTCGGACTTACAGATCAAAGTTTATCTAATCGCATATCTCGTAAATCTCTCTTGTGATTCATTCTCATTTAGATTCTGATATATATGTGGAAGAATATGTGATCAGACAAATAGGAATTTCCTGACATTGGAAATATCCAAATTGCAAACGTTTGATATATCAGTGATGTGTCAACGCTCAATACTAGTTCTTAGTTTTAAATATTTTGTCCATTATCACCTGCTAAAATGAGTTAAATTTAATGTTGTACTTCTTTTACTCTTTAACATTCATGCTACTGTAGATTTGTTCCTTTTCTTTTTCCTTTTCCTTTATGTGCCTTGAAGAGAATCTTCTCACCATTCAATACAGGGGAATCAGGAAGTCAGATTCAAATAGACAAATCAAGATATATTTTTGTTACTGTACTGCTATGTTATGAAGTTGTAAAAATAATCCAAATTCTTGCACAACTCTGTCCAACATATTTTATGAACCTTTTCTTTTTCTTTCTAACCTGCTTGATTCTCCATTTTTTGGCAGTTCTTTACATCAGAGCCTGTGCCTTGTGATCCATCAAGTTTACCAAAATATGCTCCCAGCAAGGAAATTGATGCTAAGTTACGAGATGAAGCCAGAAGGTACTGTATAGGTTAACTGTGTTTATTTTGAGGCCAAAACAATTATATGTAATTTTAGTAATTAACATTGTGATGGAGGCTTCAGTCTCTGGAATGGAAATTTTTGCTTGGAATGTAAATTATATATGGCTTAATCTGAATAATTTCAGTGTGAATCAAATTGGTCTCTTTTGAATGTTGACATCTCTGCCATGAACAAAATAATCAATAATGGGGGTTTCTTGTGTACTTCCAGGAAAATAATTTTTCATATTATTGGTGATTGAAGCCTTGAACACATAGTTACGTTTACCTTTATTTGTTTCATCACAACTGTTAGCCGTGCTTTCTGCATGACTTGATTCATACATTTGCACTATTGCTTATAAATGATAAGTAATATGTATTCATTTTTGTTTACTGTCTTAGGCAAGGAGCTGGTGGAGGTAGGGACCAAAAAGTTGCCTTGGGAGTTAGACAAGAAAAAGGGCATAGGACTAGTGTCACAGTAAAAGACAATGCCGACCCAGCTGCATCAGTACAGGTACTCTGAAAAGTTTTAAATTTTATTGTATGACTTGCCTCTGTGATATTATGAGAATGTGTCAGGACACCAAAACCTTTTTTGGGTTGTTGCAAGTTTGCAACTTGCACTGACATTTTAGTCTTACTGTAACCTCTGTTTATTTATGAGGCTAAGATGAGAATACTTGGGTTTGAATCAGGCTGGGGTATAAGTGAATTTCTAGTTCTAAAACTAAAAGAAAAGATTTGTGAGCTTGGTGCCTATTGTTTATTTCATAAATAACTTTTTATTGAACAGTATAAAAGCCTTATATACTGAACCAATCTTATATACTAAAATTTCTAAGTATTCTTGTGCTCTCTCCCACTAGTTAACCTATTTCAACTCACTGTCCTATTCTCTCTTTTAACATTTTCTTCCACATAGAGCTTATTCTTAACTGTTGTCTGATGCAGCAAGGCGGTTATCCAGTTCAAAGGAAACCGAAGTGAATTATACCAACTCCTATAGGGGAGCAGTGTCGGGATTCTTGTTTTCTCCTCTACATAACATCAGAAGATGTTAAAGCCAAATGGAAAATAGTTTCTCTGGGCATATATATAAGAAGCTCATCACATACAGGCCCATGGCTTCCTGGTTCTGTGTTTTTGGGCCTAGCAATGGTGCAAAGGAAGTTGATGATGTACCTCCCTACTTCCAATCAGTAAGGGATCTATCAAAACTATCTGGGCTAAGTGGCATCTAGGCATTGCTTCCAGAATATCAGAGTGAAAACCAGTTCTCCTTGCCACCACAGAAAACCAATGTTAGAAGTCAGTAAATCAAATGGAGTCAACATATCTGGAATCAGAGTCCAGAAGAAGACCAGAGCACCAAACAACGGATTGTTGAATTCACATATCAAAATCGAAAGCAGAAGGGTCCCCACCGAAAAATCAACCCCGGTTAGTTATTATTGTTATATATTTTTTTCACTTTGGTAATTATTAAATATTTGGTAGTGGAAATCTTCACTTGATTTGGATTCTCTCATGTTACATGATCATTCTATTGGAGGTAGATAAACACAAGTTTCATTACATAAGGACTATAGTGTTCCTCTTGATGTGTTATAAAGTGTAATCGTTATATTCAAATCAGCATTCAGTAAACTGTTTGATAATAACCTTAGGAGAATCACACCACAAAAACTAGCTGTATTAGCTGCAGAGCTTAAGACTGAAGTTCCATACTTTTCAAACGGATTCTAACATTGTCACACTATTATTCTATAAAATTTTGGTCTTCTTTTTATGAAATGCTCCAGTTGCCATGTTCCCTAGTAGTTGAATGTAACACTCACAGATGATAGGCCACTAATTATAGTAAATGGAGTCCAAGTACTGTGGCAACAATGAATGAATATTTGACCACTATTAGTGCAACAAAAATAAGTGTTTTTAGTTGACAATTGATGGTGGGGACACTGTTCACAGGGTGTGGGAGTGAGTTTCGATATTGGAAACTACAAGAATACCTTATCTCAGGTACCATTAATGGTGTCACATCTAGCAACATGGTACTAAAGTATGCTTGAAAGAGCATGATAGAAAGATTCCACGGTATTTTATCAAGACGAAGCAAGAAATTGTGATAAGTTCAAGAGGTGAGAAAGTTCGTTGCACAGCGGAATGGTGACATTACGTTAGTATTATTCTGTTTTGTTTCAACCAACTCAACTTAAAAACCATATTTTTATAATACATACATTTTATTTATACTAAGTCTGTAGGATAGGGAAGAAAGAGTGCATTCACATATTTACATCTAGTAGTAATATATATTAATTAAATATCAATATCATGTAAAATTGCTAGGCTTCATAAGAAGAGATTTACAGCCTTTCTTCAACTCTTTCATGCTTCACTCGCTTTAGATAATATATTAATAAATACAAGTCAATTCAATTTATCAGTTCTTTCCAACCTTTGTGCCACATTTCTTTTCTTAACTATTAAGAAAATCCCATGAAATTGAGAGGAATAATGATTACAGATTGAATTAAATTTAATTGTTAAGATGTGAACTTTAAGTTTAATTCAATCTTATAAAATCAACTTGTAAGATTGCATCCATCAAACATCTTGTATAAGAAATGTTGGGAATGTACTCTTTAACTACATTCTTTCATGCCATAAAGAAACATATGTTTTTTATTGATTGAAATTTCCTAGAATAGAAAAGTGAGATTCACTTTTTATTGAATAGTTATTTTCATTGATTTTGTAGCTTTCAATAAATTTCTCCATATGAAAAAAGTTATTAAAACATAGAGTGTGTTTGGAAAGAGTGGTCTCTAGCTTTTTTTTTCAAAATAATTTAGACAATCACATGTCGATGATCACATTACATGTGTTGACTATGCGTCCAACATGAAGAAACCCTAAATGATTTAAATCCGATAACAACTGTCTTAATTCACTGAAAGTCAATGGGGTATTGTGAAATTGGTTGTAGCCATGAAACATGGCTCATCAAACATGGCATTGCATCCTTCAGCAACTTCAAGATATCTCTACCTAAGAGATAATAATGTTTGACTTTTTGGTGTCTGAAAAGTAAACCTGATATGATGTGTTGTCAGATTTCCCCAATACTATTTGTGGAGGTAATATATATCCCTTCCAAATCCCCTTTATGCCAGTTGGGTGAAGCAACCATTACCATTGGGTGTGGGATTGTGGATTTGCAGCCTTTAGCTTTAACAAACTACCCACATAATATGACATTATGCATATTATTTTATATATTATTTGTTAATTTTGTGCTTAATTTTTTTTTCAATTAAGAAATATTTAAGTTATTCTAAATAAATCTATTTTAAAATAAACAATAAAAACCCCCGTTAAAAACTTATAATAAAACTTATCAATTAAAAGATAATATTGATAAAATAATATATCCTTTAATTTAAATATGATTTAATAAAATAAAAAAAAAAATGTGGGAAGATCAATCCATAACATATAGTTGAGTATAACATTTGTATATCATTAATTTTTTTGAACCAACAAGATTAGCTTGGTTTAATAACAATACATATAACAAAAACTGTACAATCCTAAAGAGAAACAATGGAACAATTTTTATAATCTTTGATATTCTAGGACTTTTAAGATCATATTATTTTTATATCTCTTTTATTAAAAAATTTAATTTATTGTTAAATTAATATATATCCCATTACTTTAATTTTTTCATTTTTTATTTCTTTTCTAAATTTATTTAATACAAATTAGTGGTATGAATTTTAATGTCTTTTATTTTTAATAATCTTTTGTGAAAATATTCTGAAGTTAACACTATTTTAAATTATTACTGATTAATTTAATTTTATTTGCTATATACATTGATATTTTGATAGTTACAACAAATTTTTAAATATTTTTTATTTTACCAAAAGGAATCAGCTGAATTAGCATATTTTTATAAGTTTTTTATTTTATTATATTCTTTAATTTTTTACATCTCTCTATAAAGAAATTGAAGTCGTTATTTAAATGTATTTTAATGTTTAGTTTTTACTCATTAGGAATGAAAACAATTTTAATTTTGTTTGACTCAATTTGTTGGTGCATGAAAATTTGAATCAATAAAACAAAAGAAAGAAAGAAAATGACAATGGATGTCGTGGTGTGAGAGTTGTTTTTTTCAGCCAGTAGACTTTTAGTAACACATAGTATCTATATATGTTAAATTATAATGTGGTGTTGCAAAGGATCGACATCTAGTAATTCACTGAAATATAAGGAAAGATTTTTCAATTTGCTTTTTTGTTACAATTCTGTTATTCAGATTATATTGAAATTAAAACAATGCTTATATGATAAGTTGTTAAAAAGAAAAGAAAAAAAAAATACAAGAAGCAAATATAGTCAAAACATGTTTATATAAGAAGGTTAATCAAGATGAATACAAAATTAAAAAGAAACATTCTGACTTGTTTGCATAATAAGAAAAAAATTTAAGAGAATATATTGGACTTTGTATTGACTAATAAGTAAGGGAAAACTGGAGATATTTCTAAGAAAACACCTAACGAATCAAATATAAGTTTAAATATAAAATAAGTTTATTGTTTTTCACCTTGCAAATGTATATATAAGTTTTAACAATTTAATTGATAAAGAGCTCCTATGTTTCCATTAATTTCAAAAATATTTAATATAATTTAGTATTATGCGTTTTATATGGTTTGTAAAATTGTTAAATTTATCTTATTTACATTTTTGAAATTCATTAAATTTTTAATTTTTAATCAAAATTATTATTATGTTTTATATATTTAAATTTTGTTTTTTAAAAATTCTCTCCTATTATTGTGTCATTTGTATAATTTTTTATAATTATTAATTTTTTTTTTAAAAAAATCTATTTTTCGTGTTCAAGTTCCCCATCACATATGAATTATTTATCAATGTCCACTAATGACAATATATAATGATTGAGTAATGTTTATAACTTAATTTCATCTATATATAATATATTTTTTTATCTTGATTTATTAAATAATGTGTCTTTTTTTATTTATACACAAACAATGTTTGTTTTTTTACTTTTAATTGAAACTAAATTTTATTATTTTAAATAACATGAAAGTTTTAGAGTTGCTTTTAAATTTATTATTTTATAACATGAAGTTAGAGTATCTTATTTAAAATGGTTGAGAATATTATGCTAGTTTTGATAAATCCGAGAAGATTGAGATTGTATGAGTGGTGTTTGGATAGATGACTAAAGGGAGATCGGTTGCCAACATTTTGGTGAATAGTTAAAGTGGAACAATGTTATTAAAATCTATTGATAATAGTAATGTGATCAAGTGAAACAAATGTTTGAACTAATAACTGACTTTAAGTATGAGATGATGTGGAAGTTAATAGATTTACTATGAACAAAATTAAGCATGATCAAATTCATGTATTTTTAACTTCATTTATTTAATAACAAAGGGCAAGATGTATAAAATGTTATGGTTCAGTTTTGCACACATAATTGGATACCTCAATGTTTTTCTTCTATTGATTCTTAAGGCATTTGGGTTGGATGATAGATTTTGCACAAGGAATCCGCAAGGCTATCTTTTTGCATCAGAAGAAAAACTCTGAGCTACATTATACTTTCTGATACGATCTCTTTGTAAATGAAAAAGATTTTACAACCCAAAATATTAAAAAAAAATCACATTGGAATCTATTATTATATAGTATGTAACAAGTACATTGAATAGAACAAAATTTTAAAGCATATACAGAATGCCATTTTCATACAAACAATTCAACCGGTATGTAACAATAGCAAAGACTGTCATTGGGGACACACAGCAAATTTGCAATGATGCATTTTGCAGTTGTTTCAATGAACCAATACTGAAATGATTTTCTAGGCTATTTATCTGCCCTCAGTGTCACACACAGTTGAGTAAGAGAAGTGGGAGGCAAAAATATCCTGAATTGTTGGGTGAATGCTGTTACCAAAGCTCCCAACATATTCAGCTGCTGAATTTATTTTCTCAACCAAGCTTCCATCTAAATCCTCTCCCTCAAGCACTTTCACAACCTGTCTCATACTTGGCCTAACATGAGGATCAGGATGAGTGCACAACAAACCAAGATGAATAACCCTCTTAACCTCATCAATCTTACATTCACATTCACTTCTCCCTTTTAATCTTTCATCAAGACCACATCACTCTTCTCCTCTCTCCATTAGCCCCATCAACCAAACAACCAAGGTTGGCTTGTTTTCCTCATTTGGCCTTCTCCCACACACCACCTCTAAAACCAACACTCCAAAGCTGAACACATCACTCTGAGTTGAGGCTCTCCCTGTATGAACAAGTTCTGGTGCCATGAAACCAACAGTTCCAATCACTTGTGATGTGTGACCTATCTGCTCATGATGATGCATTGTGGCAAGTCCAAAATCCCCCAATCTTCCATTCATATCCTTATCAAGCAACACATTGCTTGACTTGATGTCTCTGTGCAACACCTTAACCTCCCAACCATCATGCAAATACAATATACCATGAGCTACATCCTTCAGCACTTTCACTCTCTCCTCCCAACCAAAAACTGTGTTCTCATCACCATCAAATATTCTTTTATCTAAACTTCCATTTTCCATATAGTCATAGATTAAAATCAAGCTCCCTTTCTCCTTCTTACACCAACCTCTCAATGGAACCACATTCCTATGCTTCANAGTCTCTCAAATGTAAAAACCTCTCTCACTCAACAATCAAATATAGAAATATAACATCTGCACAAAGAACCACACGTCTTCGCTGCAGAACCCTTTGAGAACACCTATCAAAGTACCAAAAGCAAAAGCTCCTCACTCTTCTTCCTGGCCGCACAGAAAACAAAGTCTAATTAGGCAAGAATACACCTCACTCGTGCAATATTTGATCAGCAATGTAAATCCAAATTTGTTCTTCAAGAAACCTTCAAGATGTATCAAACTCTATGAATCTTGTTTCTTGGAGCGTTTCAACACCTTTAACACTTTTCTCAAATCAAAGATATCATATATGAAAGTTTTGAATGATCAATCTGTTACAAAGTTATGTGTAATGCATCAATTTATAGTTTTCCTCATGACAGATGTAAAACAATCGATTACGTTAATAATGTAATCGGTTACATTAGTAGCAGATATAACAGTATTACAACTAACACATTTCCAATTGAATGCACAATTAATGTAATCGATTTGCAATAAATGCTAATCAAACATATTTAAAAATATGACCGTTATTGTATATATGACTAAGCTTGAAAACAATTTTCAAATTATAACAGACTTAATTGATTACATAACCAGTGTAATCGATTAAGCTTTTCACTTAAACAGATTTTGAAAACTTTTTTTCTTCAAAAACTCATCACAGCACATTTCAACAATATG